CTTACGTTCTCTTCGGCGTGATATTTGTAACGAGGGTGAGACATGCATTCCTGTTTGCTTATTATTGATATTTCAAATATGTAACATCGAATTTGAAAATAGAAACCTATCTGTATTCTTCAAATTTTAAAACAATTAAAATATTAGTTTACAAATCTGTGATAATTGACAAGCATACTGCGCGCGCGTGTTTAATTTTTTATAAATTTTAATAAATTTAAAGAGGGAAAGTATATATATAATAAAATTCTCTCTCTCTATTTAAAATATGTATAATAATAAGAATCTACAAATTTTTTCATATTGCAATTATAATAGTAAATTGTTTTATCATAACTCTTACTAAACACACACACATACACACACACAAGTATTAAATCAAATATTTAATTAAAAAAAGTCCGAGATCGTCTATAATAATAATTTCTATATACATATAGAGCAGTACCGAAATAAAGTACAATAAAAATTGCCAAACTGCTAAAGGGATGTTTATTAAAATAGCAGACAATTTTTTACGACAATATTTAATTTCAGACAATATTTACCGTAAATATCCAAAGGATCAAGTGTGGAAAGAAATACAACGACTTACCGATATGATAATAAAATGATAATCAGAGAAGAGCAATCTTTACCGTGATAACGATCGTATAACGAAGGATTAATCCTCGCGATGCCAACGATCGGATAATCTCCCCTCGCTTCCTCCTCTCTTTTTCTCTCTCTCTCTCTCTCTTTCTCTCTCTCTCTCTCTCTTTCTCTCGACGACGTATCACGATAGTGCTTTGTGCTTTCCCGACGATTAATTACGTCACCGCGCAATTAGTAGATAATACGATTAATCAATTGTTCCCGAATGACGGGAATTGTCGCTATCGGCTTAAATTTAAACAGTGCGTCATCGAATGATCGTAATCACAGCATGCATCTACGTCGATATCATTTATTTTTGGTCCTCTTCCTACACGCGATCGCAATCGAATACATCGCACGTGGCCGTCGATGTGTTTGTAATGTGTGTTTGTCAACATCAGGTGTCATACGGATCGATCGATTGATTAGAGTAAAATTCCTGTCCTATTATCAAGCATTAAAACCAGATCACAAAACTGATTCTATATTTCCGATACCGAAAAATAATTTCTTTTCACACATATCTTTTAAAATTTCACTCTCTCATTTTATACGTAACATCCCATAAATGAGAATGAAAAATTTTAACATCTCATCCCATTAAGTCCTAAGAACATAACGCGAGATATTACCCGAGAAAATAGAATTCATATATAATCAAATATAAATATACATAATTATATATAAAATATATGTTTTAATTCTCTTGTAATAAACAATTTTTTTTTTTTTAAGGATAAGCGGAATTTGAACAAATGAGAAAGATGGATGAATTTATGGACTTTTTTCCCTGGGTATTTTTAAGAGAATTGAATTGGAGAATTGGAGAAACTAGAAAGATCGTTTCTCGATATTTTCTCGACGAAGATTCAAAATAAAATGAAAAAATGCCGACTCTAGTTAAGGGTTAAAAAATACAGCGTGGTAATGAGGGAAAATCTGAATAGCACTCGATTCGACGTGATAAGGAGACGATGACTAATGTTTCTCGATTCAAAATAGAGACTTTATCCCCCGATTTTTAAGTGCGCGTGTAAAAAAAATTATTTTTTTCGCGAATCAGCAAATAAAATCTTGTGCGGCCAAATATGTAAGCGCGTTATCGCTTACGAATAAATGACAGATATTGCACGTTGAACTGACCCACGTCTCGTATGTGGAAAAAACGCATTATTTCATACCTATTACGAGTAGATGACCGTTGTTTTCGTGTATCGCGCCTTATCATGGAAAATTCCGAGAATTTGAGATCAATCGCGTATAGGTAGGCAAGAATGAATGTGTAAGTAGAACGCCGTTTGAACACTTCTCTATCGGCCACCACAGCCACCGATTGCCACAGATAATAAATCTGCTGTTTGTCAAGAGAAGAGAAACACGCGCGACAAACAAATAACGCGTAAGAAACGGGGGAGCGAAGATCTCGCGCTTCTCACGTGCCATGCTTTTAAGCCGGGTGATATTTTTTTCTCAAACGTCATGAAACGAGTTCTATTTTTTTACGAATATTGTAAGTCATCGGTGTGTCACGTTCGAGGAGCGTGACGCTTTGTAAATTTTCGCGAATAACTTCGATGTATGATCCTGATGATTCCGTAGAAATTCTCGAGAGTTCTCTTATCTCTAATTTTACAAAATTATCAATGGAGATTTACAATGTAATTGATTATTCTCGCTTTATCAATAACTTGGTCAAATCACCTCTGTGATCTTGAAACATATTCTTCGGCAGATCGTTATCTTCCACGTTCTAGATATATTTGACGACTTTAAGAATCACTTTTAGATATACGATCCATTAATACAATGACGATAAAATAATTAATTATTAATGTATAAAAATAAATAAATAATTAATTTCCGCATCAAATATCGCGAAGAAAATTATATAGTCGCAAACTAATTTATAATGATAAATAACAGATATATCAATGATTAATATATGCGATCATTTAAAAAATTGATACAAAAGATTGGTGTCTCTCACATTGATGCTGCGGAAGGCGTGATCCCTCGTTCTCTTATCACGGTTAAAGCTCGAATAAATTGATGACGTAACGAGCACATGTCACATGTACGACACAATTTCACGTGAAATTACGACGAATAATGACAATCAAATAAACTGACTTCCGCGTAGTCAGATCATAAATTAAGCGTGTACGAGTTTGCGTCATAAATATATAACAATCATTTTACATTAGACGTTTTGTTACGTATGTTTGTTACGTAACAGTCGCGCCAAGAATCAACGAAAATACAATACTAACAGAGAAAAAAGAGATAGAACAAAAATGTATTTTATTAATTAATGTTGGACGAAAGAAAAAATAGAGAAAGAAAAGTTAGAAAGAAAAGAGAGGTCAACATAAACGAGCCCCTCAGGCTATGAGATATTTATTCAAATACGAGACTTCAATTCTTATATGTATAAATTCTCTTCAACTTATACAAATACAAATTAAAGATATGCGTGCTTTTCAAATAGTATTAGACGATATATATATATATTATTGATAAACTCAAATGTGTGGAAAAAAATAAATTAGAAACATAAATTTATACGTTTGATCCTTCTTTTTTTAAACTAACTTATATCGGAGTTGCCAAAATTTTTCTCATCGCATCTTTTATCTATCTCTTCTTCTTTTATTTATTATTGAATCTCTTTGCATACGGTTGAGTCGCTATCTTTTTTTGTCACGATTTATCATTTTGGGAAAAGCCGAAGATTCCCGAAGCCCCTCTTCTCGCGAAGGTGGATGATATCTTATCTGGAGCCAGCCTCAGGCTTGCTCCGGAAGTCAAGGTGCGCTCCGCGATTCATGGTCTATGATCATTCGCTCGATTGCGATCGCGAGAGTAAGGGCCACTCGCCGATACTTTCCTTCTTCCTCTTTGCAGAAATCGAAAATTCCAGTTGACAAGTTATCGTCCTCGATCGGCGCGGATTCTCGTATTAGGAGGATAGGGAACGAACGGGAGGAGGGTGGAATTCACGGCAGCGACGCCGGCAGGATACCACCTTGCATTTACCAATGAACGCGGAGCTTCGTCAGGAACAATACCGCGGCAATTGCAGCAGCAGCACCAGGAAGCGACGGCACTGCGACGGCACATCCCCGAAGGAGAATCTCTGGCGCGCGAGCACTTTCAGGACGTCCAGCGACTTGAGCGGCGATCATGGGTGAGTTCTTCCGGTGTTTTTAAGAGGCTGCTCATTTTGAGATAACTCTGAGTTATTCGAAGAATTAAAAAGAAATTAGAAATGATTGATTTATTATTGATAATCGTGTCTTCGTCAAAGTCTCATGCAAAGACGGTCGCTTGACAAGATTTGTGTGTGCTGAAACTTTTTTCTTAAAATATTAGTTAATTCATTTTATTTACTTATGTTTTATTATTTTATTTACATTTATAAATTATTTATGACATACGTCTCTTACTTCTCTATTGCAGGACTCGACTTCCTGGCAGACGGAGGTGCCGACTTCGAGCATGCAATTACCGTAACAGGCAAGAATTTCATTGAAGATTTTAAAGACTCGTACTCACTCTATTTTATTTATATCGTAGTTATATCAGAATTTTATTAATATTTATCGATCTAAAAATTCAAAAATATTAATATAATAATACATCTTATAGAATGAAAAAAATTCCCAAGAAAGATGTAAAAAGAAGAAAAATGTAAAAATACCAGAAAATCCCGAAATCGATCGCGATACATTAATCGTCAGTCTTATTAAATGCAACATGTGCGTCAGGTTTTGGAAGATTTCACTACATGCTGCTGGCCATCTGCGGCCTGATCTACATGGACACGGCGATTGGCGTGACGATACTCTCGTTTGTACTTCCGGCGGCGCAATGCGATTTACAGATGGACTCCACCGCGAAGGGTTGGCTAACCGCCTCTCCTATGCTAGGTCGGTATTCGGATATCACTTTCTTAATCTGAATCAATAAAAGTATTACTGATCGAAGTAGAACAACATGAGATTTCACCGAAGATCAGCAAGCATTTCGTTGATACAGTAAAAGTTATAGTAAAATCACTTATCGGTGATAATACATTGATTCCATTTAAGAGAGAATCTATTAGATAAAATTCATCTATAGATTGAGATATACTTTGGCAGGTATGGTAATCGGCTCGTATATATGGGGATGCCTGGCTGACACAAAGGGCAGGAAGATTGTGCTAATTGCTACATTATTGATGGACGGCATCGTGGGCGTTGTGTCTTCGTTCGTCCAGTACTTTTGGATATTCCTAGTCTTCCGGTTCTTCAACGGCTTCGCGTTAGTATCCGCAGGGTCACTCTCACTTCATCTTGATTTCGAGTCAATTTTTTTCGAGCCACTTGTTTCAATCTTTAAGATCTTCTATTGAAGAATATTAATTAAAAAAAGTTATTACTTTGAATATTGTATAAGGACTTTGACAATATTTTTATGAAGGAAAAATTATTTTTGAATTTATCAGAAAATTTGTCATTAGAACATGTGTCATTAGAAAATCTAAATTAAAATCTTACGCATTCTGACATACCTATAAAAGAGATATCTTGACAGACATATGATGTGTCTAAATATTAACACGAAGTTTCGATTATCACGCAGCGTGACCGGAGCTATGGGCATTTGCTTTCCATATCTCGGGGAATTTCAACCCACAAAGTACCGCGAACGCGTTCTCTGCTGGATGGAGATGTTCTGGACGGTCGGCGTGATAGTCTTACCGCGTAAGTAGCTTGCATCTTCCGTTAATCTTTTCGTTAAGCTCTCTCCGAAGACGGTCGAATCGTTTTCCAGTGATCGCTTGGTTAATCATCCCCATGGATTTCATCACGTATGAGAGCGAGACGTTTCATTTCAAGTCCTGGAATCTCTTCGTCGCGCTTTGCGCCCTGCCGTCGCTCATGCTCGGCCTGTGGCTCTTCGCCTTTCCGGAGAGCCCCAAGTTCCTGCTGGAATGCGGCGAGACTGACGCGGCCCTCGAGGTGTTCAAGTGGATCTATTCGCGAAACACTGGCGCCGATCCTGACACCTATCCGGTAATAGTACCTTGATTCTTAACTTTATGATAGAAATAATAAATATTTTCTCTATTTTAGGTAGAATAAATCTTTAGATAAAGTCCTCAGATGTGATTATAAACTCTCTTATGCCTTCCTAATTCAAGAAATGATAATCAAGATATTAGTATGCGTCTAAATTTCTTACTCCGGGCCGTTACACAAGTAATTACAGCGTAACAATATTAAATATTTTAATCAAATATATTTAATGATTATTAAGAGAGAGACTGTTAAATAAATAAGATACGGTAGCTTCACGAAATATTTAACGAATCTTCTTTCTCTTTTCTCGCTTCAGGTGAAATGTCTACAAGAGAAGACAAAGCATCAGGATAAGAGCACCAGGTCACTAAAGCTGCACAAGCGGAAGGACCTGAAGGTTCTCTTTACGGAAATACGAGATCTGACGAGTGCACTTTGCAAGCCACCTTATTTGCGCAACACGTTAGTCGCCTGTGCCATTCAATTCGGACTCACCAGCAGCTATTACACTCTGATGGTCTGGTTCCCGGAATTGTTCACCAGGTAATCTCTTCGCCAGATTGATTTTCTTGAATCAAAAAAATTTTTTATATAAAATTACAAGAAAAGAAAATATGAGTATGATTAGATATTTTAAATATCAAAATCCCAAAATATAAAAGGTGCTATTTTGATTCGTCTCGAATTATTTCTTTATTCATTTAATATTCTGATGCCAATAATTTGTCATTTTTACGTTGCACTCTCTCGATAGATTTGAACACTTCGAGCACACACAACCTGACGAGACTGCATCGGTGTGCGTAGTATCCGCTCTGACAGACAATGGGACCATCTTTGATCCTTACGGTTGCGACACGATAATCGCACCTTCCGTTTATCTGCATACCGTGTACATCGGCTTGGCGTGCATTCCCGGCTCCATCATTCTGCCCATCTTCGTGCACAAACTAGGAGCCAAGTTCTTCTTGAGTGAGTGACAAACTATGCGAGCTCGGAACAGCTTTGAAATTAAAAGCGAAGTTAAGAAATGAGAGCTAAGACTCTTTCAACATTCGAGCAAATTTTAATTTTTCAGTGTCTACTCAAATCTCGCTAAAAAATTTCCTGATCTTTTAGACAGTTTTATTCAGAAATCGGGGTAAAGTTAGAGAATTTTTAGATGCAATTTTTCAAAAGTAAATGTTTTAAAGAATTTTCAACAAAATTCCATAAAAATTCCTTGATTTTTCAGGTAAAATAATTCCTGAAAATTTTTAGGGAGATTTTATTTTTCAAAAAATAGATACTCTATTTTTGGAACTAAACCAGAGTAGATTTTCGATTAAATTCTAATAATTACAATTTTGTTTTAATTTTTAAAACATTTATTATACAACTATTTTTAGAATTAATATTAGATATTACAAAGTTGTTATATAGAATAATTAGGATCTTAATAATTTGGAATTTCTCTAATTTTTAAACAAAACGTCCATTTCAGTCATGTCATTGCTGATTTCCGGCGCGGTGACGGTGGGTTTTTACTACGTGGTGAACTCGATGCAGAATCTGGTGCTCTCGTGCGTGTTCGAAGCTCTCACGTCCCTTGGGATCTCTTTAGTTTATTGCGTGATCGTCGACATGTTTCCGACGAATCTCAGGTGAGCGAATTAGGAGCTCTCATTATTTCCAATTAACGAAAAGATTTAGTAATCCGGTATTATCCTTTTTTAGAGTAATGGCAGCTGCTTTGTCGCTGACGATGGGCCGGTTGGGCGCTTTGGTCGGCAACCTGGTGTTCGGTTATTTGATCGATTTAGCCTGTGTGGTTCCCATCGCGTTGTTCGCCGCGTTTCTGTTCGGTAAAACTTTTCCCAATTCTAATATGAGCTCGAATTTTCAAATTTCTTCTATAAGAATTTTTAATTTCTATAAGAATTTAATTTTATAAAAATTATTCAAGTTTTTTCCATTTTTTATAATCTAAGTACCAGTTTTATTTAAGTACTTAATGATACTAATATTAATTTGTCTATTTAAACCCTAAACTCTCTAATCGTTGTTTAGCCTGCGGTCTCTTGTCGTTTCTGCTGCCAAGAACAGGAAAGGAAACATTGGAATAGCAGAGGAAGAGTCTTTCGATCTAGTTCGCGCGTTTTGCTCGGACGACTTGAGGAATCTGTGCCTTGGACCACTCTCTCTTTTTCTGGTCCCGTTATATATTTATTAATAAATTTATTTGTAAGAAAAAGAAATCATGTATGTGTTTATCATATTCCTGAGGATAATACGAACGAAATCTATATAAGCAAATCTAAGAAAGCAGTTTGCTCCAAGAAATGTATATAAGATTGAAAAAATAGGTCGCGTTATGTGTATATATATAACAATGACGTTCTATGAATTTGTTTTATGAAAAGATTCTCTGTACTCCTATTCTATTTTACATCTCTCACATGTATGATTTCTCTAATCTTAATTTATCTTTCATCTATTCTTTCTTATTTAGTTGAAATATTTATATAAGTTTTTGAGTCAAATACAACGTACTAATAATTTTTATTTTTAGAGGATTATAGCTATTTATATAAAGTTATTATAGTGCTTATATATATCAAAAAATGTATAAATTTATTCCATTAAATATCTGATTGTTGCACGCATAAAATATAAAATTCAATGTGTGCAATAATAATTTTTTTAAATATTTATATTTTGGGCGTTTATTCTGAAATTTAAATTTCATTTCATTTTTTAAACATAAACAATTCCTCTCTCTTTTAAATTATATAAAAATGATTAAAAGTTCTAATCTAACAACATATATTTAATTTTAATTGCAACCGAACTTCTTCAAATACTCTGTGTGTATATAGCTATAAAACACATGATTAAATACATTAAAATAATTTTTCTTTTTGTAATTTTAATCGCAATATTTTCAACATTATGATGTGGTGGAGTGACTCGAAAGCCGGAATCGCATTCAGCATAAAAAAGAATTTACGAGAAATGATAACTTTTTTTTTTATATTAGAAAATTATTTTTTCTCGAACTGCGTTATGGGAAATGTCGCATAAATGACGTAAAGCAAATTTCCTGCTATCTTCTCGCGAAGATAGTATATCGATAAGCTGCCGTTGGCGACATGTTCAGGAATTGACAACGCAAAATAGGACGAAAAAATATCTTAGACCCAGAGATTAATTCAGGTTAATCGTAGAGAGCAATAGAGAGCATCGTAGGGAGCACTAGGGAGCAAGGAATCGACGAGAAATAGATCAATCGGAACAAGAAATCGGGATCCCATTCCAGCGATTCAAGAGAGTTTGCCAGGGAGAGATCTCGATCAGGGAGAGATATTCCGCGAGGATGACGTAACCTGACGAAAAAAGACGTGAACAGTCTTCGCGCTGAGCGACAACGCAAAATAGGACGAAAAAATATCTTAGACCCAGAGATTAATTCAGGTTAATCGTAGAGAGCAATAGAGAGCATCGTAGGGAGCACTAGGGAGCAAGGAATCGACGAGAAATAGATCAATCGGAACAAGAAATCGGGATCCCATTCCAGCGATTCAAGAGAGTTTGCCAGGGAGAGATCTCGATGGTATTCCGCGAGGATGACGTAACCTGACGAAAAAAGACGTGAACAGTCTTCGCGCTGAGCGAGTCACCCGAGCTCGAGCGACTTGTCTTTAGGTTATGTCGCCATCGCACAGCCACCTTTGTCGTCGAGGGGACTCTCAGAATCTTGTAAATCACTTTGTCAATTGTGTGTATTACAACATGTTGCATAGTATATTACGGTCAAACTTATATAAATTATTGCGAACTTTGGTGAAAAGATAAATAAATGTCAAAAAAATTCGCTTGTGTCACATCTCTCTTTACATGTGTATTTTTGTATAAAATATATCAGTTATAAGTAAAGAAGAAAACGCATGCACTTAAAATTTTTATGTACAACTTTTGCATATATTTACTAGAAATTTCAAATTGGTTGACTGACATTTGTCTTATCAAAATATGCCGTGACTTTTGGATCATTCTACATCTATTTGGCTATTTTATTAATGTAAGAGACTATAGCTTTATTGAATTAATTTATCTTTTGACTATTATATTGTATATGCTGATATATATTTTTACTTTTTTTTTTTTAAATTTATTTAAAATAATATCAGAGAGAGAAGATAGTATTGCAGTGCGAAAGCCATAGAATTTGATCGAAAGAAAGCAAAAAAACAAAACAGACACTAAAATGGTTTTTGAATCAATCATTGCGGAGCTCCTCAACAAGGTGATCGGCGAGTACATTGAGAACTTGGACTATACGCAGCTTAAAGTCAGTCTCTGGGGAGGTAGGAACACGTACAATAATTCTATATAATTCTTCCATTTAGTGATTATATTTTATGTAACAAATCTTTTTTTCTTTTAGGAGATCTTGTATTAAATGATTTGTTAATAAAAGAATCTGCGTTAGATGTGCTAGATCTTCCAGTAAGATTGGAATATGGCCGTTTAGGTATAAGAAACTATATTATATCAACAATATATGTTACATATTATGTATAAGTTACACACAACTAAATTTATGTAATAATGCAATATATTGATTATTGAAATTTTTATTCTGTAATGAAATACTATATCTTTCAGGAAAATTGATACTAAAGATTCCGTTTAAAGATATGTGGAATGGCCAGATTGACGCTATAGTCGAGGAGTTGTTCATACTGGTAGTGCCTACGAGTCAGATTAGATACAATGAAGAGAAAGAAACCAAAGCGCAATTGGAAGCCAAACGGGCGGAACTCGAGAGAGTGGAGAAGAGAAAGCAGTTAGCAGACATAAAATGTAAATAAACATTTATTCTTTTATAAATTAGTGGAATAGAGACTTTTAAATTTTCATGCATTTGCGGTAATTAAATTTAATTCGATATTGTTGTTTTTAAATTGCTTTCTGAATATCTACATTCTGTTTTTTTTTTTTTCTTTTTTTTTCCAATATGGGTTTAAAATTCGTCAACTCTTTTGCAGCACAAGAGAAACTGGACGATTCGATGGTCGAGAAGCTAGTCGCGCGTATGATAAAAAATATTCATATAGAAATCAAGAGGATCCACGTGCGATACGAGGATCACGTTACCTTTAAGGAACATCCGTTTTCCGTCGGTTTCACCTTGAATACCTTTGTCCTGGAGAGTTGTACAGACTCGTGGGAGACGACAGGCAATCTGAAGGACATGTACGCCATTCCGCAGATCTTCAAGCTGTGCAGCCTGGACGGGCTGGCAGTCTATCTCAACACGAGCGTGGAGCAGTACAGCAAGAGCCCACAATCCTCGTATTCCAATCTCTTCTGTCAAGGTATCGCGACCATGGACTATATCCCGACGAGTTACCAATACCTGCTAGGGCCGATCAACGTCAAGTCCAAGCTCAGACTTAATCCCAAGCCTGAGTCCGACGATAGCAATTATACCATTCCTAAGGTGACCAAATCATTCGCGCTCGTCATTCTCTAAAACGCCTTCGACTGAAAAAAATGCTTTCGTTGAATTCTACGTAAAATTGTCAAGTTCAAAATTAATACAAAAATCATTTTAAATAATAATTTTATTTGTCTTTTGGCGCGCAGGTATGGCTAGATTTGGAGATGCAGAAATTGCGAATTGGCTTGACGAAGCGGCAGTATCAAACTTTGGTACGGCTGGGCGAAGGCCTGGATCAAGCGCGAAAAGCCGCGCCATACCGGAGGTATCGGCCGAATCTGACGTCGTATCGCGGTCATTACAAGGAGTGGTGGCATTTTGCGTACACTTGCGTCCTCGAGGAGACCGTGCGACGCTGTCGTCGCAACTGGGACTGGACTCACATGAAAGGACATCGCGATACTTGTCGCGATTATGCCCAAGCCTATCAGACAAAGCTGACGACGAAGAAGCCGGCGAAGGAGATCGCAGAGAGGTTAACGCATGGTGAGATGAAATTGGACATCTTTAATCTGGTAATCATCCGGCAACAGATCGAGATGGAGGTAGAAAGACTGGCGGAGCGGGAGAAGAGTCTAAAGGCAAAGCGAGGCTGGTTTGGTTTTCTGTGGAACAGTTCACAGGCTGAGGAAACGAAAGAACTCAACTCAGCCGCGGCCATTATGCGCAGGTTTGATTCCAAACATCCGCTTCTTCTTTGTGTAGCTCGGACTTTTAGATATTCTTTTAAATAATATTTGGCTACTTTAAATGATTTATAGTTTGGGATAGAACTCTATCTATGGTAATATGATGTTTATTTTCAGATTCGAGGAGGCAATGACTCCGCAGGAGAAGGAGAAGCTTTACCGGGCGATCGACTATCAGGAGAACAGCGCGCCCGCACACTATCCGGAAACATACGAGATGATCGATACACGTTTCTTTCTGCACGGTCTACAGATTTCTCTGCTAGACACAGACAAGGAGCATTCGTGCGTCTTGGATCTGCAGCTGCACGGCGTGCGAGCGGGTTTCAAGTCGCGGCCGTCCGCAAACGCGATTCTCGTCACCGCTTCCATCAGCGACATGAAGCTGCTGGGCGTGACGCAAGACGGCCGTGTGCCCTCGCTTTTCAACTCGGAACATGGCAGCTCCGACAGCGACTTACTGTCGGTTTCTTACGAGAAAAATCCAATCGACAAGCTGTGTGGCGATCGCGTCGTCGTTAAGTCCCGATCCGTGGACATCATCTATGACGCCCAAACCATCATAGAACTGGTCAACTTGTTTAAGGTATCTCTTTGGTTTTAACTTTAACAAGTAGGTCGCACCTGCGCAGTAGATAGAAAATGTTGAGATAAGGAGAAAATTTCTGCTTGGATTAATTAGGATTTTCTATTAATTTAATATTTAAATATTTCTAATTTTTTTCTCATCTTTTCGCTTTGCACATTTTTTTGTCGATGAATATTTTTTAGGTGCAAGATTCTTTGACGCTAAACCAGCTTCAGACAGCAGCAGCGGAGCAGTTGGAAGGCTTGAAGGAAATGTCGGCGCTTGGGCTAGAGCATGCCATACAGAAACATTCGATCTTGGATATACAAGTGGACATGCAGGCCTCGCAACTTATCATACCACACGGTGGCCTCTACGAAGATTCGAAGGCGCTGATCGTCGTAAATCTGGGTAGTCTAAAGATGCATTCCTTGGAGAAAGGCAAAAGCGACATGGCTGGCGCCAGCGTTAAACAGCTGGTTAGCATGGGCAAGAGCGAGGAAGAAGTGCTACTATACTTGAGGGAGCATAGTTATGACAAATTCGTTTTGGAGATAGTTAACTTTCAGGTAATTTTAATCTTCAATTTGGATAGCGTTTAAAAAATTATTTTACGAAAATTATTTAAAATTATATTATATGAAAATAAAGTCAATATACAATTAAGAAATAATTACATGGGAAAATATTAAAACACATATGATAATTTATAAATATTATGTAGAAAATATTAATTGTAATAAAATTTTTAATATATATTATAATAAAGTCAATATTCTTAAATTTTGTTTTTTCATATCTAGGTGCTAGTCTCATTACCGAACGAAGAATGGCGATCAGCTCTTGCAAGCCCCGAGAGTTCTCTGACGTTGCTTCATCCAACCACATTAGAAATTCAGTTCCATAAGGGCTTGGTGACGGACGATCCTCTATTGCCGAAACTCCGGCTTCTCGGTCGCCTACCGTCAGTTACCGTGAACATAACAGATGTTCGGTTGCTGCAGGCGCTTTCCATCGCGCAGAGCATTCCGCTGCCCGAAGAGGAAAGAACCGCGGAGCTGCATCGAACGTCTCTCTCCAAATCCATCTCGCAGCTGTCGCTGAAGGACCTCGGCACCACGATATCCAGTATCGCCGATAAGAGGAAGCAGCAACAGCAAGAAGCTACGTCCGCGCCAATGAAGCAGACCACCGATCTGGAGATAAGATTCGAGATGAAGGAGTTTACGCTGTCGGTGTCTAGACAACGAGACGACAGCGCGGAATCGTCGGAATTTGTCAGGTTTACAACGCATATTTTGTACTCTTTTATTTTATTTTAAAATTTACTTTAAAAAGTTCAAATTTATTTTTGATTGACTTTAGCTTGGCGTGAATTTTTGAATTTACTTTTCAAACTTTCTTCAGATTCCAGGTACTGCAGTTGGAGGCGGAAATGCTGCAGCGCACGTATGATCAGGAAGTGCAGCTGCGACTGGGTGGCGTGCAGATGCGACAGCTGCACGAGGATCAGGAGATTTACATTGTCAACACCCCGATGTCGGCCGGCAGAGACGAGTATCTGATTGTCGTGCGGTACATAAATGTGAATAAACGCTCGCCGGAATTCATCACGCGACACGGTTCTGTCGTGAAACTACTGTTACTGGAATTCACCTCGCTGGACACGCTGTTGCATCAGGAGGCGCTCATTGAGCTGCTACGGTTTAGCACATACATACAAGACCGAATGAGCTCGCTCGAAGGTGTTCAAAAGAAGGAAGTAGAACGTCTTCGACCTACTCACTTGGCTTCCATCCAGGAAGAGACCTCCGGTTTCCTCAGGGAACAGCTGCAGAGGCAAAGATTGAGATCTACTGGACGACGTAGAAGACAGACGGTCGAGTGCATCGATTTAAAGGTAAACGCCAAAATCGGGTCGATCAATCTAAAAATCTCCAGCGCTGTCCGGGATATTAGCGCGCTCTACATCGAGGGTGTCAGCGCCAGTTTCCTCAGCAAGTCTTCGTACTCGCAAGTGAACGCTGATCTGGCTTCCATCAGTATTAAAGATCTTAATCCTGTTTCGGTATACAAAGACATTGTGGCTGTAGAGGGTACCGAATCTTTGCAGGTAAGCAACTACCTTTACATTTGCACTTGTCGTTTTACATCTGTATAATGATCGCTTCGAATCATATTCGCAATTAGATTCAAGCGGTGATGTATAATATCGAACCGTGGGAGGTAAACAAGAACAACATGTCCGTCAAGGTGACGATGGGTTGCCATCGTATCGTCTTTCTGAATGCGTTTGTCACTAGCGTGATGAATTTCCTGAACAACTTTCAAACAGCGCAGAAAGCTATCAAAGACGCGTCGGCTGCAGCGGCGGAAGCCGCGAGGACGAACATCAAGGATGTTCAAGAAAGTGCCTCTCGCATCGAGCTGTGTGTCAAGATCAAGGCTCCCGTCGTATATGTGCCGATGAACTCCAAGAGCGAGCACAGTTTAATGCTGGATATGGGCAACCTTATGGTACAGTATGGCGAAATATCATTTGATTTGCAGACAAATTTATCGCTAAAATTTTTCAAAATTGAAAAGAAATGATATATAAATCATTTGAAATGTATATACTTTCAGGTGTGCAACGTCTTCAAGAAATTGGAGGCGACAAATGAGGAGACCGGCGAATGTCCCATAGTGGACGAGATGAAGATCGAACTGCAGAATTTGAAGCTGTCGCGAGTCCGACTGAATACGGAGAAATTTATCAGCGAGAACGAAGTACTTCTGTTAGAGCCGGTAACGTTTACGCTGCTAATGAAGCGCAATCTGTCAACCGCCTGGTTCACCGCCATTCCGGACATTGATATGTCCGGCAGATTGAACAAAATCAATTTGCTGTTGAGCAAAGAGGATTATGCTACTATTCTGAAGGTACTAGAGCAGAATTTGGGCGAGACCTTCGAAGATCCGAAATCTGTGCAAGTTGCACCATCTGCTGTGAAATTTGAATGCAACGAAGAGCTGCAGGTGAATACGAGAAGAATATAATATTAATAATAAATTAATAATTTATTTAATTTTAATGGATATATTAATAGATAAATAATAGATTTAATTAAATTAATTAATAAATATAAAAGAGATAAAAGGATTCTTTTTATCTTATTATCATTTGTCACGTATCAAGATTCAGCCGGCGTACAAATACGAAGTCGACACATCGCAAGAACCGCCGTCGGCGGATACACAGGAGCGGCACACCCACACGTTCGTGAAATTCGAGTTCATCATGGACAGCCTGGTAATCAATTTGTTTACCGGTGGCTCCAAGCTACTGCAGTCGCAGACGTCGCCGCTGCACCTGCCCGAGAACGGACTAGCGCGCTTTAGTCTCACGCACTTTGCCGTGAAAGGTCGCGTGTTCGCGGATGGACTGCTAGCCACGTCAATCTTGCTGATGAACTGTACACTGGACGACACGCGGCGGAGACGGGAAGGCTCTCTGACGCGGATCATGGAGAGGACCAGCAGTGTGCCGAGCGGCGAGGATCATCTCGACAAGGAGCATACCAAGTACAATGTTAGGAGCATGTTGGACGTAACGGTGCGCCAAAGTCCGAACGATACGTTTGCCGACGTGCGGGTATTCTCCTTTAGCATAATTGTGTCCCTCGACTATCTCATGAAGATTAAGGATTTTTTCGATGTGGATACCGCGGGCAAGACCGCCGCCACTTCTCTGCAGTCTTCGTCGAGAGGCGAATCGGTGGTACCGCCAAAGAAAAAACATCCGACGCAACAGCAGCCGGTCGCTTCGACGTCCAAAATGTTAACCGTGAATCTGCATGTGGAAAAACCAGACATTATCTTACTCGAGGACATGGACGACATCAACTCGAATTGCATAATATTGAACACGGAGCTGTTGTTGAAAATGCGCATTATGGGAGAACATCAGGTGATCACGGGATCCATTAAGGATTTCTCTCTTCTCACGGGGATATACAATCCTACGAAAAGAGCCGATTGGATCTATCAGGTATTGGGGATCTGTGAATAGAATATCTGTGAATAGAATAGAAAATACTTATGACAGAAAATACATATGACAGTTTAAAATTCTAAAATGACTTTTTAATAAAATAATTAATTTTTAAATCCTAAAATATTTACAAATTTTTGTATATATAATAAAGTATTTGTGTCATTACTTTTAAATAGTAAGTTCAAAAAATTTTTTAAAAGATTGTATTTATCAAGATCTTTTGAATTAATCAAAATCGGAAAACAATCTAATTTAACATCTGTTATACTAGTAATATTATACCATTGTATAGGTCCTGAGACCATGCAGCATTAGCGTTGCCGGTTCCACGCCGGAGGGCAAAGGGCTTCACTTGGACATCTGTTGTACAGATATACACATGTCTGTTTCGCCAGGTAATTTGCGGATCGCCAAGTCGCTAATCGATAATAGTCGATAAAAATACAACAATTTTGTAGGTGTGATCGAAATATTGAATAAGGTTGTTCACACGGTGACAAAGAAGGAAGAGGAGAACAAGGAAGTCGTTAAGCCCGAGCCTAATTACGAAGGATTGTGGATCGTCACGCCCTTTGAGGAGAATGATTATTGGTTCCTAAAGACAGGTTATACAAATTATGCATTAATTACTCTTATTATATATATATATGAAAATATCTTTTTTTATCTTCTTCCTTTTCTTCTTATTATTTTGTTAAAGTATATTATATTGATTTGTAGAAGTTGCGATGGAAGCTTTTGAAGAGTTCACATATTCAGACGACGAGGTTGCGACTGTTTATAAATCCGAATTAGCAATCATCTCGGCTCCGACAATCTTGTTTACTCTGGAGGCAGGTGTCGGGAACAAAACTTTGCCCATGTTGCTGCTTCACGTGGGTTTCCAAAGCAACGTCAACGATTGGAGTACGAAAACGGTAAGTCGTTGATCGCGAAAATTATTTTTCTCTTATACACGCATATATACAGATTGAGAAATAATTTATACAACATGTATACAAATTGAGTAATAATTTATTAAATTATATTAAATTTATTAAATTTATAAATTTACGATATTTTTATTAGTTCATGAAGAAGAAAATGAATATAATTAAACATTCTGAAGACTTATGATGCAACGAATGTATTAAAAGGAACTATTATTGAATATTTTAATCGATTAATTATCTTAAACTTATAAATGTGTGTCCAATTATAAGATTTAATGCGTATAAATAAAAAATTCTGGAGTTAATCTTTATATTTGTTATCATTTATTTACAGATGGGCATTGATTGTACGATGTCTGTAATTATGGCATATTATAACAGTCGCTTAGCACTGTGGGAACCGTTAATTGAGCCGATAGAAGGCTCCAATAATGGTAAACGCGTCTCCACACCATGGGAGCTAAAGACGAAGGTGATTCTAGCGTTCTTTTCGTAATTCTTTTTCTTTCTTAAGTATTCCGTTGTTTGTTTTTGCTAATTAATAACACTGTTTTAAATATGTTAGATTCAATTTAACGATATACTACTGGACTCGAGAGGCGCCAGCGCGGTTAGTCCCACTTCGGACAGCGAGCTCGACGAGCTACCAAATCAGTCCACCAAGATGTCCATTGACATTACATCTGCTGTAAGTGAAGTTTTTAATATGGATATTAAATGTCAATTATATATATTAAATTACAAATATGTATAATACTCAAGTATTATAGTGTTTAAGTTAGATGAGAAATTTTTTATAAAAAATTTTATGTGAAATTGATAGCGTTTGGCAATATTATCGGCAATTTGTGTTTGAAATGCGTGTTTATTTCTCCTAATTTTCGTCGGCGATAGGATAATCTGGAGATAACTGTGACGAAGACGTGTCTGGATGTACTGAAGCAACTTGGTCAATCGTTTTCCTCGGCTATGGAGGCCAGTGGAAAAGGATCTACCAGGAAGGTGGCGCCGTACGTGCTAAAGAACGAGACTGGTCTGGCAATGATACTTGATCTGGAGCATAGTCTTTTCAAGGTTCGTCACAATGAAAGATTTTTCAAATTTCTGTTTTAACTTCTTTATCTATCTATTCACCTTATCTATATCATCTATATATTTATCTTATCATCTATCTATTTGATGCAATTTTATGAATTAATATTGGTGCTTATTTTAGATATTTGACGATGGATCAAGAATACGGAATGACAGCGATTCGTACATGGAGGTGATTCTTGAGACCGGCGCGTCAATCGAGTTGGCGCCGAAGACATCCAAGCTGGACGCGCGTCTTCTCGAGCAGTTGAAAGCGGAAACCGTGAAGGACAGGGACGACAGTAAATTTGCCGTTTCTGTAAGTTAATGATATGTAGACATAATATATATTATCTGCAGAATTCACGGCAAGGATTCACAATTCTTTGATTTGCCAAAATTTATTTTTCTACAAATAATAAATATTGGAATTAATTTTAATTCAAATGTCAAGTAAAATAATTTATTGAAGATAATATTAAATTTATTGAAAAAGAAAGAGAGAATATTATTAAAATTAATAATTTATATCATTAATAATTAATAAATTATTAATTTATATAAAATTACTAGTAATTTTTATTCTTATTTAACTGAAGAATTATAAAAACTAATCCTAAAATTCACAATCTTAAAATAGTTAAGTAATAGAAATAAAAATCATTCAAAAAAATATCCTAATATTTAATCGTAACTCCTTAAATTTAAAACTAAAAACAAATATAAATTTTAAAGGATAACATAATAAAATAAATAATTTTTTATTTTTTAATTAATATAAGAACTATGAACTTGGAGTCACACAATCGTTTACACAATAAAATTTGGCGGCAAAAGTTCATCGTTTAATTTTACGCAGACTTTATTTTTAATTTGAAATTTAATTTAAGATATTAAAAGTTAACAATTTTTGCTAAGAAAACAGAAAAGACTCTTTGAGTTGATTTAAAAGTCAAGAATCCATCCTTGAATATCACATTACGACATGACTTGTATTTTAAATCCACAAGATAGATCGATTATTTTATCACACTATTGTGTAATGTAATATAATGTAATAAAACTTAATTAATGTAATAAAATGTAATATAGTTTAAAGGTATCCAAGGCAAATTGGCGATACCTGTTCTGAAAGCGGACAAGAGATTCTTCTCTTTGAAGTATCGCAAAGAGGGCTCCGAGGAATGGGGCATCGTATCGGATGTCGTTGTGGAAGAAGGTAGCACGATCGTCACTCTTAGAAGTATACTTCAGGTAAGTGGAAGAGAATCGCGAACAATTTTATCGATGATAATCAACATTCCACAACATATTCTGTACACAGGTCCACAATCACTTCGCGCAACCGATAGCAGTTTATTATATGACGAAGCGCGGAAACGAGGTCGAGTGCGTGGGTACGGTGGCACCGGATGAGAAGCTCAACTTACCCCTCGATACCGTGTACACCCCGACTAACATCTATTGGCTCTTCTTCAGTGTTGAAGGGTATGTTTGCATCTTTTTTTATCTTTATAATGCCACAAAGCCAGTTCAATGTAATTTTTAAGGTGTCTATTCTTTGGAAAAATCTAGAAACCCGAGTACAAATTTTTAAAATATTTGTTTTAAAAATTCTCTATTTTTTACTTGAAATTTTGAACAAACATACCTAGAAGATCAGAAAGGAATTTTTTTACAAAATTTGAATAAACATTTTCATTATTATTAAGGATGAAGAAGAACACATTAAAATATATAAATTTTTTTATTGCATCTAATCCTTATTCTAGATATATGGTGTCGGTTGAGCCATTCATCTGGAAGGACCTGCAGAAAACGGTTTCCATGACAAGGCTATTGAAATGCGAACCTCGATCTAAGCAGGACGTTACAGAACCATTTTATATTCAGGTTACAATATTCGTATAAAATTATTGATGTTTATTGTCTACGATGCTAGATAATTGCGAATTAATTAATTGACAATAATTAATTAATTAATTAGATAATGAGTCACATCGATGTTATTGATCATAATAATAAATAACTAAAATAAAACAATGTACACATATTTGTTTATGTAGGCCATGGGAGAGATCGAGCAGGTATATTTCGAGAATACTACTCGTCACACCATGGCTAGTACCATCTACAACGTACACCTATATCCGTCCGTGTATCTGAAAAACTTTCTGCCGATCGACATTATCATCTCCTTGCCAGGCACCGCTCAGGAGAGTTTACTCGAGGCCAGCGCTTCCTTGCAGCTGCCCACAATCGATCCAGTCAAATCGAGTATAATTATCAAGGTAAAATAGATAGCAAAATTAATGTGAAAATTAAATTATTACACTTCTAAATTGTTACTATAAATTTTTATACAATCGAGAATAAATTTTGACGAAATTGTTTCGTCGATTGTAATTATAAAATTTGAAAAGATTATCGTGCATTATTTCTTTGGGATAAACGATGCGTTTGTTCAGCTACCGAATTACCTGGAAAAAGACTGGTCATGCAGAGGCGAGATCGTGGCGAACCCACCCGAGTTCGCGGTCTGGTCGTTCGAGTCCTTCGACAGCGCGCAGAAAGTTACACTGGATCTCGGAATGCACACGGCCTACAAACACGGCTCGATCGTCATGGCACTGTATTGTCCCTTCTGGATGCTGAACAAAACCGGCCTGATGTTATCTTACAGAGTACGTTTACGGCGATTGTATTCATTGCGCGAAGGATTTTGGCAATTTTGCTGGCAAATTGCAATTGAAATATTATATTATCTCTTTATGTCTGAGAAGTTATGCAACCTTTTTTCTGAAATTTTTAATTCTCAATGGAATTTTTCAGAGAGTATACATCATGTCTCTTCAAGATACAAAAATATCTCGAATTCTTGTGAAATTTTTTATCGATACGCAGTTCTTGTATCATACATGCTAATGCTTGTTTCCTCGCCCTTTTTTGTATCCTCTGTCAGTGTTTCGCCATATTAACCAGGATTGCATCTGCTCGATTAGAACCCTATATTCAACATGCTCCATTATTTTACAGAAGTCGAGTAAGGGTGGCAAAGAGCATTCGAGTCCGATCAAGGTAGAGATTTCCTATTATCGTGCCGCATCTCATTATGCTTTTCGTATAAAAACAGGGTGTCTATTTCCTGGAAAAATCTAAAAAACCTGAAATTCTCTTTACTTTGATAATTTTGCTCTTATATAGCAAGCAGTCGAAAATCCATCAATTAGCCAAGTTGTATTATAAGCTAAATTATATCTGTTTACAATATACAGGGTGAAGCACTAAAGGTATTACAGTCTAATATTTCTGAAATTGGACGAGATATGAAATTTTTATTTTCCTGTAACTGTTTGGTATCAAAGCGGGCATTCGACGCAAAAACGGAACTTCGCGCTGCAATTAACAGTGTGAAATTAATGATTTTAAAATAACGATTTCATATCTTGTTCAGTTTTAAAAATATTAACCTGTAACACTTTAATGTCTTTAGTGATTCACTCCGTATATTCAATGTCTTAGCAAAATACACAATATATATTCTTTTTATTGCAATATTTAATGATAAAGAATGAAAATGTTATCGCAAGTGAAAAATGCTTATCTTACAAAAGCGAGATTCAGTTCTTTTCAGTATATTTTTAAATCTAATATTTGTAACTTGAGTGATTCTTTATTTTTCCTTTGTATGAATAAAAATTAGAAAACATAATTTAAAAAAACTTATTTTAAAAAATTACAAAAAATTTTTCGATTTTTAGCTGAAGTTTTGAATTAAAATATCTGGACAAATCAGAAGATTCTCAGAGATTCTTTTTATAAGATTTAAGTAGACATCCTGAAAAATCGTCGACTCGTTAAATCACTCGCGAAATTAGCCGTCAAAATTATTTCAAATTCTTCCAATTATACAATTGTTAAGGATGATTAATACAAATAAAACTATCGACTCTTATTGCCGAAATGACTTATCGAGTTGAATTTTGTTGTCGGTTTGAACTTCGAGATTTATATCTCGTTTTGTGAAAATGTACGTGGGAACATCTTTCAGAAATTCGTTTCCGCTATGAAACCCCATCAGCAACGGTACAGGAGGAGGAAAACGCGCGCGGTGACCCATCGCTTTATTTCAATATTAGTATACTGAGCTGTTCTCGTGCTTGTGTTCTCAAGACTCGATTATTACTATGGGATAACAATTGTCAGATCTAGTCGATCTATCACATTGGGACTAACCATCGCAATTGTGTTATATTACCATCGTGTTGGTCCTAATGTTAGCCGATTCTTAACAACTGCATTTTACCAAACACACGCCTTAAAATCGCCTTTAAATCGCGCTTCTTTTTATACGTAACTGTTAGCTTATTATCATGCGTAATTGTGCTTTTACTCGTGCTGCTCTGTCTCCTCTGTTTATCGTTTTCTCTATTTTTTACTCGGACATTTATACTTGGATCCTTGGTTAATCTTAAATACGCGAATTTCAATTCTCAAACTTCCTCCTAGTGATTCTTTTTTACGTTTTTAGTTTTCCAGATATAAAGCACATCCGACACAAACAATGTTTATTTAACGAGCTAATATTGCGAAAGCGTTTGTTACTTATTCTATTAATTGCATGATAATACAAAATATTATTTCTGACGATTAAAACATAAAGATTATTAATCCATATCGATTGCACGTTCCAGACAACGGACGATTACTTGAACGTCCTGTACCATCCGGAGCACTTTAAGGGGCCCATTCTATTCTCATTCCGTTCCAAGGCTTTCTTTGGTAAAAAGAAGGCCATGATCAGAGTGGAAGATGGAGAGTGGTCCGACAAATTCTCGATCGACGTCGCGGGCAGCGAGGGTGTGGTGGCGTGCAAATACAACGGAATAACATATCAGGTTCTGATATTGATGATTTTTGTCGATTTTTTTTTTTTCAGTCACTCTTATACAGAGGGAGAAAAATTACATGCATTAATTTTATTGTAAATGAGAAAATATGAGAATAAGGAATAAAAAATATAAATAATAAACAAAAATAAAAATAAAAAACGCTTTCTATTACAGATCGGGGTGCACAATCAGCTGACATACAACTCGCTGACCAAGCAAATCACGTTCACACCCTACTACATACTCATCAACAATGCGGATTTCCTCATAGAATGCCAAGAGGGCGATCGTCCGGCGGATCCTATGATCAAGGTACATTAAGTATAAGCAACTCAATTATTTTACTGTGTAAATGTGTTAACGAAAGATTGCGAATTACAATAATGTAAAATGTTATGCTCTGCAACTGTTGTATTTGTGAAGGTGTCTGCCGGCGAATGCGCAGCTTTATGGCCTCGAATCGAGCATGAGAACAAAACTTTGAGGGCCAAAGTTGCCGGTCAACCCGAAAAAACCGCAGCGTTCATTTATACTGACAGCCATACAACTCTATTGAAATTGGATAATAAGGTAATGCAGGGTCCATCTCTTGAAAAAATTTCCTTTTTGATAATTTTGTTCTTACATTGAAAACAGTTGGAAATCTGCTGATTAGTCAAGTTATGAATTATATTTGTTTAAAATATATATAATAAATAAATAAATATTTATATTTATATAAATATAAATATTTATAATATTATATTTTTTTGTATAATTCAATGTCTTAGCAAAATACTGAGTATGCAGTACACATTCTTTAATGATAAAGAAATGAAAATGTTATACAAGTGAAAAATGCTTATCTTATAAAAGCCATTCAGTTCTATTCAGTTCTCTTCTTATATGTTTAAATCTAAACATAAGTGGGTTTTAATTTTTCCTTTGTATGAGTGAAAAGTATTAAAAAATGCGCTTAATAAAAAACTGATTTTAAAAAACTGCATGTAAAAGTTCTCTAATTTTACTTGAAATTTTGAATAGAAATATCTGGAAGATTAGGGAATTCCCAATTGGATTTATTTTTACAAGGTTTGAACAGACACTCTATAATATTAAATGTTCACATTTACTGACAAGACTATCTCTTGTTCAACAGTACGGAGGGATCAATGTGGATGTGCAAATCAGCGAAGGCGGTGTCTACATCTCCCTGTCGGCATATAGTTCAGGCAACGCACCGGCTCTGATCATCAATCATACTCCACATACCATCAATTTCTGGGAGAAGGGCTCGATCAATGTCAGGTAGAAAATGCACTAAAAAAATCTGTCATTAAAAACTCGATATACGACGTATCATCCTGTGTATACTCCTGTATATGAACTGATCGCGTATTTTATGCATCCACAGGTCCGTGCAGTCGTACAACAGGATGTTTTACACCTGGGAAAATCCGGCCGGTCCGCGAAAACTCGTCTGGGAAGATAACAACGGCAAAGAGTTTGAAGACAATCTTCGTAAGGTAAGAGAGAAGAAAAGAAGAGACAAAAAAAAATATTTGTAAAAATAATTCGCGAACATATGTTGTCCTTTTCATTTCCTTTTTAGGATAATCTCGGTGCCTTCCAATTGCCGGATGTAAACGAGGAACTGTTCCACGTGTCGTTTCTAGACGGCATTCAGCGAGTGCTTCTGTTCACCATGAATTTAAAGATCGCCGAGGATTGTCAACTGGCTGGTGATCTCGAAGTGATTGATCAGGAAATCATGTTGAACATTCACGGCATTGGGTTTTCTCTTGTGAACAATATCACCAAATACGAGTTGTTGTACATGTGCATCGCTAGGTGAGTATATCGCAATATCAAATAACCGTACAATGTTTTGATATAATAATAATAAAATTTTATTTACAATATTACACTTAATTAAATGAGAATCATCATTTTTATATTTCGAAGAATTAATAAAATTCTTTTTATAATGCAGTTCTGGAATTATATGGGAGACCCGCAAGTCCCTCGGCGGCCGATGGCGAGCGTTAAACGCCAAGGAAGTTAATGCTATCGAAGAGGGATATCAGCGATACATTAAGGAATTACAGATTGGCAAGGACGCAGACTATCGATTGATGCTAGAGCCGAAATTAATGGTAAAATTTAATTTCTGATTCAATATAAGTACGTCGATAACCACATAGATATTATATTATAGGGGTCGTTCTCATTGCTTTCAGGTGGATTATCTGAACATGGAGATGCTGAAGCCACATCGTAGGTACATGCGACGTACCTTTCAGACTGGATTTTGGCTACAATACCGTACCTCGGCGCATCAGGTACAGTTGCACGCAAAAATCAACAGGCTGCAGATCGACAATCAATTGTCGGAGTGCGTTTTCCCGGTTATATTGGCTCCGGTTCCACCGCCAAAGAGCGTAACGCAGAGCACAGGTATCTATTGTTTGCAGAGCACGAAAAATATTTTTATTATGTGTCTCTAGTATTAATCTCATAAAACTATGTGGATGTCACTTATACGAAAATAAATTACATAAGAATCATCAAATTATATATATATATATA